GGGTTTAGGGTTTAGGGATTCCGGTCATTCTTCCTGATACTTTGGAGCCGTATACGGTGAGTTCTATTGGATTCGGACCCTTTGATAGCCAGAATCCGGCGAGGAGAGAGTGGTTTTTAGGGGCCTGCGTCTTCAAAACGTGCTATATCTATGATGGCTTCCACCAGCATTTTACTACTGAGTACTTGTATTTCCTAGGGGCTCCATGGCAGTTCCTTGTTTTGTGGTTCATGTTGGGGATCCTATGCAGTAATCCCAAAAAAGGAACTACAATGNNCCTAAACCCTAAACCCTAAAGTTCGAAGACCCCTGCCCTGAACCACTGCACCCGAAGACCCATGGCAGTAGGGGTCTTGATAATTAGAATAAGGGTTTAGGGTTCAGGGTTTTAAGGTTTAGGGTTTAGGGTTTTAAGATTTAGGGTTTAGGGGTTTAAGGTTTAGGGTTCAGGGTTGGGGTATTCACACTGGCGGCTATAGGGGGTATGTTGTTTCAAGATATTCCGATCCCCGAAAAAATAGTAATTGAAGACGCGACTGTCTCAAGCTTGGCCTTTGGAGCTTTCGCTGGGGGTTGGGAGGCGGCCGATGATTGCGAGAGTCACTGCACATAGACGGAACCCTAAACCTTAAACCGTGAGCTCCATGTAATGACAAGGCGATGTGGTTGTGAAGGGCACCAGGCGGCGGCCCAGCTTCGAGAACCGACTTTCGGTTGATGATATCGATCCTGCACTACCCCTAACAAGGAATATACCACGATTCCCAGAGTTTAGGGTCCTGAAGGTAATGCAGGATTCATATCATCAACCCTACAATGCGATCATCTGCTAAATCCTAAACTCTAAACCCTAAACCCCGAACCCCTACAAACCCTAAAGCCCTAAACCGAGCGGACCCAAGAAGCAGGGTTACAGACAGAAAACATCGCTTCGGCCCGAGGCTTCAGTGTTTCGGGCTGTTGGGCCTCCCCCGCGAAAAATTGGGCAGCATTGAGGGTTTAGGGTTTTGGGGTTTACGGTTTAGGGTGTTGGGGCTTAGGGTTTAGGGTTTTGGGGTTTAGGGTTTTCGGCTTTAGGGTTTTGGGGTTTAGGGTTTAGGGTTGAGGGTAGTTTAGGGCTTAGGGTTTGGGGCTTCGGCTTTAGGGCGTCGGGCTTCTATCCCTTGCGCAGTTAAACCGCCGGTGTTCTGAAGGAGCCTTAACGTTTGTTCTCGAAGTTAGGGCCCCTTTTGGGCTTTGAGTTTGGAGTTTACGGTTAGTTCTCTAGTTAGGGTTTTGGGTTTTGGCTTTAGGGTTTATGCTTAGTTCTGTAAGTTAGGGCCCCTTTTGGGCTTAGGATTTTGGGTTTATGACTAGTTCTCTAAGTTAGGGCCTTTTTTTGGGGGGGTTAGAGTTTTGGGTTAGTTCTCTAAGTTAGAGGCCCTGCTTGGGTCGCTTAAATCGTACGGCACCCTTATAAACACTACGCTACTGTAGAACTACCCCTAAAGCAACCATATAGAAACCCACAAAGAAACCCTTATAATCATACATCCCTTTAAAGGAACCCTAAAAGGGGCTCTATCCCCTGGCAGTAGACCTCCTGCGTCGGAAGGGACCAGTTGAGGATCACCACGGAAAGCTCGGCCCTTTAGGTAAGCTGCTTGGTTTACGAAGGTTTCCATAAGTTCAGGTTTTTAAAGAAACTACAGGTGGGGAGTTTAGCGTATATAGGGCTCCTACAAGGCTTCTATAATTATAAGGTATATCGACCTCTAACGGTAACTACCCACCTGAAAATGTCCACAAGTTCAGGTTTTGGGCCCAGGGCTTCAGGCTTTTGCCAGATGTGGCCCAGGATAAGAACCACAAGCTTTTGCCAACAAGCCTTAAGCAAACGTAAGTCTACCTGGTGATTGCTCCAACCGACATGCTCTGTTTGAAGAACCGCCCAATTGTCTGCAAAGAAGCACACTGCGGAGACAGTATGGGTTGTCAGGACAGCAACCTCATCTCAATCTTTCTCTCTCTCTATATATATATATGTATGTATATGTATGTATGTATGTATGTATGTATGTATGTATGTATGCCATGCATATGCATGTGAATGCTTCGAGAAAAAAGATACGAAAGCTCTCATCTAGCCCAACTGAGCTGGCATCAATCAACCACCCTCTCACTGACACCTGCTCCCCTTGTGCCCCAGCAAGAACCAACCCTGGGGCTCCAAATAGCCCAAAGTAGGTACCGTTTATAGATTTTAGACCCCAAAGTAGGTACTATTTGTATACTTGGAGCCCTAGGGCAACAGCCCTGCAGCATGAACTTTCTCAGGCCGTGAGAACCCCAAGATCCTGAACCCCGAAGTCCCTGCCATCACCATTCACCTCTCTTATCCTCTTATATGGTAGCTCTCTAAAGTAAGCTCCCTTTTTAGGAACCCAAAATAGTACGGCCTTTGTAAACAGAACCCCCAAAAAGGGAACAACATTTTTAGAGAACTGCCCATATGATTCGATGCTGAACTATGTCATACACTGCTTCTATATTGGGTTGCATGGAAAAGCTTTCTTGTGTTGTATCGTACATGGGGTTTAACAGGCACTCCAGTCGAAAAAGCTCTCAGAAATCCCTGGCCCTGCCTAGGACCCCGAGAAGCCCGCACCCTGCTTTTTGGTAAGGCGATGATAGATCCATATTTAGGGATTCGGGTTCATGGTTTTTAGGATATTATACCATGATCCCAATGAGTAATTCTCTAAGTTAGGGTCCCTTTGACGGTCCATTCTAGAACTGTGCCGTACTATTTCGCGGACCTAAACAGAGACCCGAATTTAGAGAACTACCCAAATGCAGCACGCCATTCAAGAAGAAGGACGTGGGTCGCTCCCGCGGGTTCACCCTAATCCTTAAAGCCGCAAAGCCTCAAACCTAAACCCTTCAACGGTTTGGGGTTTACCTAGACCCCCCAACTACCCTCTAATCTACCTTTGAATACCCACTATTAAGGACCATTAGGGCTCTAGTAGAGGGCCCTTTTTAAGGTCCTGGTAGGGTTTAGGGAAGTTTAGGGTCTAGCAAAGCAGTGCCTCGTCCGGTAGGATGTGAGCTTCCGATCGTCGAGAAGAGGCTCCGACTCGCCCTGTGCGGTGAGCTGCTGGCGAAAGCGTGGCACGCCCAGGCGGTGACGAAGGTACCTCGGGCATAATCCTAAGCCCTAAAACCCCAAAACCCCTAAACCCCTAAGCCCCTAAACCCTAATTTACCGGCTGTAGCCTCGGAATTTGGGGGTGTAAAGATAATCTCGACAAGAGCTCCAACACGGCAACTAAGTTGGAACGTGGCTGACATCAGTTGAAGCGATGCTAGGATATTGCGTGCGCTGCAAAATAGGCCGATGCAACTGTTGCTGAAACTGTCGGGATTGTATGCGAAGCCACCGCCTCTTTCGATCCGAGGTGCCTTTTCAAGCCAAGAACTGAGTCGCCGTAGCTTTCCACCAGGGCCTTGGAAAGGGCTTCTTGAAGCTAGGGTTTAGGGGTTTAGGGTCTTTGGGGTCTTTGGGTCTTTGTGTTTAGGGATTAAGGGTTTTAGGGTTTAGGGATAAAGCGTTTAGGGTTTTAGGGTCCTTGGGTTTAGGGCTTGGGGTTTAGGGCTTAGGGTAGGGGTGGGGAGCGATGTATCAGCTTTGAGCAATCCGTGACCTGGATCGGAAGAAGCGCCCGCGTGTTCGGATGTTTTGGGATGTGCCCGATGGCGGAAGTCTGCCAACACTCAACTCTCGAGAAATTCAATGACTCTACGCACGGATGGCTTTGGCAAAAAGTACGTTCCTGCCTTCGACAATGGAATCCTCCACCAACATAGGCTTGTTGCTTTCTCCCGATTTTCTAAACTGCCTGTAACTAGTAGCTATATAGTAGGCTGCTGGACCAAGAAACAACAGATGACTATACATCCAAGAAGAGGCCCGTGAACCCGAAACCCAAAGAGTCTTTATATAAACAGATGAGTAATACAGGGGCCTTAATCATCATTATAATAGGTCACTGGGTTTCTATGAGGGAACCCGCAGCAACAGGATTATGATTATGGTTACTGCTGCTGTCATCATTGTAACTCTTCGTATCATTAAGTACTCTGTCCCTCATAATCCCGAAACCCTATAGCCTAAACCTTGGGTACTGCACCCATACAGTAACAGTCTATAATCCGCCTACTATCACTTTATGTCTATTTCTCAACTGTTACTGAGTGGGGGCAGTATCCAACCCAAACCCTAAACCCTAAACCCGAAACCCTAAACCGTACTGCTTTGACAAAGCTGCAGCCAACTCCTCTGCATCCAGGCCGGCCACCTGCAAAGCGCAAAATCTCTGCGACAAAAGCAGAGGTCACAGGATTCGGGTTTAGGGTGTTTTTAGGTATTGATTTTTTTTGGGCTTATAGGTTTCGTAGGGTTTATAGGGCTGACATGCTTTATAATCGGGCCTGTAGGGTTTAAAGGTTTGCAAGTCTAATAGGGTTTATATATGGCTTACAATAAGATTCTATAGGGTTTAAGACGTATGGGGTTCAGTATTTAATCAGGCTTTGCGCAGAAGTTTTCCATCAGCAAGCAAAGGTTTAGGGTTTAGGCTTTATAGGGTTTAGGGTTCAGGGAGCACAGATTGCATATTCGATGTTACTGATCAGTATAGGGTCCCGGCTTAGGGTTTAGGGTCCAGGGTTCAGGGTTCCAGGTTTAGGGTCCCAGGGTTCGGGGTCTAGGGTTCAGGGTTTAATGCCGTGCTCTGAACAGGCAAGACACGTCACGAAAACACAGATCTTAGACTTTCATGTTCATCTTGAGAGTGCACTACTGCGCGCATGGTGCTTCCAGGCGTGAACTCGGCAAGCCTGCGGAGGTTTAGGCTTTAACGGGCCCGGGGTTTGGCAGTGTAGTGTCTAGGGATCTAGCTAGGGGGCAGGTTTACGGCTGACTGCTTAGGGTTAAATGCTTTGGGCAAAAAACCCTAAATCCTAGACCCCCAAACTCCAAACCTTATAAACCCCAAACCCTGTAAACCCCAAACCCCCAAACCCCGTAAACCCCTAAACCCTAGACTAAACCCTAAACCGCTAAACGCCCTGTTTAAACCCCTAAACCCTAGACCTGGAGTAGCGCAGTCCTGTGCCCATGAAACCGAACGTTGTTCTTGAGAATCTGAATCCCTCCAGGGGTCAGCCCCCTGGTTCTTAGTAAGGAATGATCCCTAGGAAAGTCCCTTAAGGTTCCCCTACTTAGAGGATCATGGGACTTAGTAATCAGGGTTATAAATAAGGTAACTATAGTTATATCTAAATATAACTGCAACTAAGGTACTTATGACCTTACTTACTAAGTCCCATGATCCTCCAAGTAGAGTAGTCCCCATTCCTCCATGCCCTTCTAAGAACCAGTCAGTCAGGGTGCAGGGGCCAGGCGTGGGTCCAAGGGCTCTTGTTTGGGCTTCGGGTTTATATGGGTTTAGGGTTTAGGGCTTTGGACTTTAGGCTTTAGGGGTTACGGTCTACCGTTTAGGGGTGGTTTAGGGTTTGAGGGGTTAGGGTTTAGAAAGTTTGGTTCAGTTTGGGCTTTAGGGCTTCGGGCTTAGTTCACTTTGGCTTTTACGGTTTAGGGCTTAGCTCACTCTGGGCTTTACGGTTTAGTGTTTAGTTCACTTTGGGTTTTAGGGATAGTGTAGGGGACTTTGGGACCTTTGGGATGTCTCGCAATGAGATTTTCCTTGCCCTGCCAAGACTCCCATCATTTGGGCAGTTTTTTTAAGTCTTTTTTATAAGGGTGCCGTACTATATTGGGGACCTAAAGGGGGCCTGAGTTTTGCAGCCCCCGGGATACTACTCCGATACTCAGACGGTTGCACTCGAGTGCTCGCATTTCAGGTCGAAGCCTATGCAATACATTGGAATAGGGTTTTGGGGCTCCTTTGTAGTATACTGATAACAGGGAACCCTAACGACGAATATTGGTAATTGTTGAGGCTTCCAAGTGGACACGTAGCTATCCCTGCCGGAAGATTGCTTGGAGTGGAGTCAGGAGGGTCTCTTTAGGTTTGATGCCCTATGATATAAATAAAAAATACAATATATGTGTTCTTCTATGATATGCTTTGCTATGAACTGGTCGGATGAGATGGTACGAAGTGATATGACATGATACCGCATGGCAAGACCTGATATGAGCTGCGATGACATGTCATAATATGTTAATACATGAAAAGATATGGTATGATATGCTATGGCAAGCTATGATATGATTTAAGCTGATATGCTTTGGTAGGATGTGGTGTGGTCCCGTGCGCTATGCTGATATGACATGAAACGGCATGACATGATGTGTTTCGATTTGATATGGTATAAAACCACGTGATATGCTAAGGCATGGCAGTATGCATATGATACAACTATATAGCAGATACAGCGGTATATACATCTGCATATATGCAAGACCATCATACCAGAGCACGACCCTTCGTGGGACAAGCCTCTTCGCCCGACATCTTCCGCACAGACATCGCCATGGGTGCGTCTTCATTGGCCAGCATTGCACTTCCCAAAGAGTCCCAGGTGCTGTTATGGACCAAATCAGACTAATAACTCCTAACATATAACCCTACATTCTAGTATGTCGGTACTTGGACTCTTTGGGGACTTTGGGCCAACATTGCACTGTGCATATGCTGAAGCCGAGGCGGCACCATGTGCGAATCTGCTCATCTGCCTGGGGGCTCTTGGAGTGGAGCAACAGTAGACATTCACATATCCTGTTGAACCGCACAATCTAGGCCCGTTGAACGATTGCTAGGTGAGGCCCATGTTGTGAAAGGCTTGTTATCTGGCACTTGCAGTGCACGGCTCAACGCAGAGAATTCAGACATCAGGATCCAAAACTCGTGGCAGGAGGAGTTAACTACATATATATATATACACAATATACCTGTTTATCTATCTATCTGTCTGTCTACCTATGCATTTACTTATCTATCTACCTATCTATCTACCTAGCAATCTATCTATCTATCTATCGACCAATTCATCTATCTATCGATCTATCCATCCAATCTTTCTGTCTATCTGTTTGTCTGTCTCTCTCTCTCTCTCTATCTATCTATCTATCTACCTACCTATCTATCTATCTGTCTGTCTAGCTATCTACCTATCGATCCATCTATCTATCCATCTACTGACCTACCTACCTACCTACCTACCTACCTACCTACCTACCTAGCTATCCATCTACCTATCGTCTAGCTAACTCCCTGTCTTTACATGTTTGGGTGTGTGTGTGTGTGTCTGTGTGCGTGCGTGTTTATATGCATGTACAAACAAACAAACAAATAGACCGATGCATACATGAATATGTAAAAAACATAAATACCTATGTACATATATATATAATATGTATACCTTAAACCCTAAACCCTGAACCTAGTCCGTGTCTCGATCAGGTTCAAAGCCTGATCCCCCCAAACCAGGCTCGACTTTTTGGCGGCCGGCGGCGGCGGTTTCTGGTTCGAGCTGCAAGATGCGCCTGGTGCAGCATCTACAGCAGTTCTGAAGCCTTCCAGAAAGGATCCTGAGTAAGTACCTATGTAGGGATTACTTTCAGAAACCGTAATTAAAAGGAATTCTTTTCATCACTTGGTACTATGATACATCAAGTTGGTACCATCCGGGCATCTGGTTTCGCACTGCTGGTATGTCCATGGCCCGAACCGCGATTGATTGCACGGAACCGACCGCAAGACATCAACATGGTTAGGCATGTGTGCCCCTTGCACATGATGTGCAACAAGATCTTCAAGCCTTAGCCATCGAAGGTTGAAGCCGAAGCATTTCAAAAGGCGTTGCTGCCTGGATGCCCACGAACTCTGAAGCCATAAAGCCCAAATCCCGCTGGCTCTCCAAGGAACACCGTCAAAGATAGACAGTAGAGGGGCCTTAATATAACTCGAATAGGCTTCTGGGCCATGTTTCAGTAGTGATATAACAGGAAGGTTTTTGGGTAGTTATTCAATCTTCTTTATCACTCCCGCAGATCTTTCTTCTTTGCGTGCTATGGCTGCTTAGGCCGCCTTCAGAATTCGAGCTTACCTCACGGCACGAAACCCCTCCTCCAAACATGTCATGGAACAGGGGTAATTAAGGGGCTATAGGCGTTTAGGCATTTAGGGTTTTGAGTCTTTTGTTGGGGGTGGGGTGGGTGGATGGGTTTCCAGGTGGGTGGGCAGGCGGGCGGGCGGCGGGCGGACGGGCGGGCAGCATCGGGGCGCACACATTCAGAATCGTGCTTTCTGTACAACATAGTCTTTTAATACCGCTGTAGCTAAGTACAATGATTAATTATGGTGAACTATGATATGATGATCTGATCTTCATAGAAGCTTACACACACATGCTTTGAGGGCGTCCTGTGGCCCTCACTGCCGAGACATCTCTGTTCCACATGGCAGGCTGCGTCTGAGAGATTTGGGAGGCCTCAATG